CTCCAGCTTATCTCTTCACATATTAATGTATACTCTACTTATCTTCATTCTAAGACGAACGTTTTACCATGCTAGGTCTTTTGCTCCATTATTCTGAGAATGCTAATGCTTTTCTTTGTGCTTCTCAAATCACGATATTTTAAGCCCTATTTTCGGTTAGCTGATCAGGCTCTTCATTACCGTTGCATAGAGCTTATTATTCTATCTTTCTTAAGCCTTAGAGGCTTACACAAGCTAGGTGTCTGTTGTCATCACCCTTGTTCATTTCTTTATAATACTTATTTGTTTTATTTAGAATTTATTAATAATTCTTTTCGATCATTCTTTTTCATACTCATTCAAATTTAACCATTTTCCTTTCCCTATATATGCTAGATGGCACCAGCATTATGGCTTCTCATCTACGCAAGCGCTTCGGTCTAGACAATTTCTTTCATCGTCTTTCACTAGCCTCAGCCGCTTCATCCAGCCCTGGTGGCTCCTCTAGATCACGCCGAGGCTGCAATGCTTTAAATCCTGGAAGCCTGGGATGTGCCGACCTGCCAAAGACCATCAAGGCGGTTTGCATGCTATACTGCTTTACGATAGGCACTCTGAAAGAGATCCGAAATGACATCTTGGCCGGTAATCACATACTCATTCGCGGTTAACTCGCCTATTCCTTAAATTTCATCAAGTTAATGAGTATATTCTAATGCAACTTTATTTTTCTATATTTTCATTGAAGAGTAACTCAGGAATGGGAAAATTGTAGTGTATATTTATTTTCCTATCTGTGAATTCAGTCAGCGCGAAGTTTACTAGTAAAATGTGATTGTAAATCAGACCATTGCAATTTGACGCATAATCTGATTCCAAAAAAGGTTAGGATTTAAGGAAATTCTCTCGTTATCGATTCTTGGTAGAAAATAAAAAGTTATTTTTTCGTCTTCCTCATCTTTTTCATGTAAGACCAATGATCACATTTATTTTTGGACATGTGATATTATGGTAACGGCAGACGAATGCCAAGTTGCGACAACGAGGTCAACCCACTTCTATCAATCGAAAGGAGACTGCGACCCCACCAGAGGCCACAACATCTTGGTCTTCATATATTCAATTAAACTGATTCTCCTTGTTTATCCTGATTGTTTTGATCTCCAGTATCAATCTCTTGCTTTGAAGCCTTCTATTCTTCGGGTATTAAAAAACTTTGTAGAATCGTACACAAACTGCAATGCGATAATTTAATTACTTGGGTCTAATAGTTCTTTTCTATCAATCCTATTATCCAGAAATCCTACCAAGAGATTAGCTTTTACTCCGTTCCTCAGCAGCCCCGTTTTATCAGTGCCTAGACAAGCAAGTAATATTCAAAGTTCCTTAAAAGAATTACTTGTAAGTGGACAGTTTTTAGGCCAGATATATCAAATCTTAGATATGAAGACCAAGATTTTTCCTTTTGTTTGATCGTAGTCTCCTTTAGACATATAGTGTTGATTTGGCCTCGTTTGCGCAACTCAGTTGAAGCGTTATGAAATATCCCAAGTCAACAGTCTGATGCTGGAAATCATCATAAATATTATTGCAGAGGACGCGGGACTAGATACCTTCTACAAGACCTCCCTGTTACCCAGACCAAGTAGCTAAAACGTTGTCAAACTAGCACTTAAAAGCTATATAGTTGAGTTGAATTGGATCGAGCTAAAAACTCTGGATAAAATTTATCTTCGATTTCCCAACTAGGTATTTATTATATTTCATTTATGTACTTCATTTGTTTACCCTATCATATTAATTTTTTAAAGTTTTCCAAACTTGTGTCATCCGGCAACGTTAGGATATTACTTTTTAAGCCGAATCGTTTCTTTTGAGACTTAAGGGATGTTAAATATTCTTATTCCTTGCGCCACTAAAAATGGTAAAAATATGTTCTTTGATGAATTCAAGCTCATCGCTTTCACTGGCTTCATTTCCTTTATCGTGGCTCTCTTCTTACTTTGCCTTCACCCCACTAGGCCTATCGTTAGGTGACTTGCTTCCTCGGATGTGGCGTCTTATCTGGAAGTCTGGAAGTCTGAGGGAATGGGCTACCAAACTGATACCAGCTTCGGCTGGCTGGAGTTTGGAACCACATGAATCGCACTTACTTCATGTGTTTTCTGCCGCTACCGCTAATCTACTCATGTAATCTGTTATTTTATAATTACCCCTATTTCTTAATTGAGTTTAATTGATAGCGTTTCTTTCGCTCCTGGGCATTTCTCCAGCTGAATGAAATTTTATTTTCTGGATTTGATTCAGATTATTCGCTAAATCCGATCCTTATTCTGATTTAACTAAGAAAAGCGAAATCGGCATCAATATCTTCTACCATCACTACTCCAAGACCTGCACGAAAAGTGACGCAAAATTTATGCAAATTGAGATTATCTACTTAGGAAAGCTAGCAACAGGACTAAGTTAATTTCTCTGATAATTACAGACGAGATCGGCCTTTTTTAAATGATGCGATTAATGTGTACTTTTATATCCGCTGGTCTTATCATGATGACTTTAGTCAATTTGCACGCAGCCGCTTCTGCTTTAGCTCATATTTTAGCCTCTCGTTGCCTCGTCTTTAAATTAGTCCATGAGTAAATTCGGATGCTAAGTTATAGGTAAGTGAAAGACAGGTCGTTTTATATACCTAATTTCTTGACAATTTTGCCATTCTTTCGGCCTTGCAAAACCTATCCGTACACAAATTTTGACCGCTCTGGATAACCTTTATTCTATCTGGCCTGCGATCCTAGGTCCCTGCTTGAATTATTTCGCTATCAGTAGGTCTTTCTTACGCATTTTTATAAATATACTTTACCCTTAAGAAAGACCGTCGGCCTTGCCAACCATATTGAAATTCTAATCCCGTTACCTTTGTTACATTAACCCGGATTGATTGGTTGCAAAGCCGATGTGTCTGCTCTATAATCTTCCATTTTATTCGTACTTTGGATTTTCACTTGGTTGAGCCTTCTGAAATCAACAAGTGGCATTGTCCCACCAAAAAACCCATTTTGATTTAATATCAAACAAGGTATTTTTTTATGAGTCATTTACATGTGAATACCTTTGTTCTGTGGCTCATCTGTGCTGGTTTATTTCATACAGCTAATAACTCACTAAAATTAAACAAGGTTATTGTATGTTATCCTTAGCCTCAATTGCAGGTTCATAGAATGTCTAAATATTTTATTCAATTGCTAAGAGTTAGTGCTGCAAATAGTAATGAATGTCATGTGGCTGTTGCTAAGGGTGTATTTTCAGATAATGAATCAGAATTCTATAATAAACTATACTGCAAAAAAGGTGGTGAAAAGTGTTAAGACATTGTTACGCCTGTCCTTATCTTAAGGGGTCCTCTATGAATCCGTCAACATGATAATGTCAAATCATTACCAGCATGCGCGCACCAGATTTGCCAGGGGAATTTGCGGATAATATTAATAAAACGGTCTCAGCCTATGATCTAACCATTGAGCTTGATGTCTTCTTTTAATTTAGCCTTAAGATCATAATACACTTTAAATATTGTTTAAAGCATATGAGTTTGTTTCAATAGCCTATTGCCAGATTGTACTTTAAAAACATTTTAATATGTCATTGCTTGAAGTGATTAAATACTTCGTAAATCTTTCTTATCTCTGTTTCGAGTTGTGTGTTGCTTTTGTTCCATTAAAAGGTCCCTTATAATCGGGTCACCTGTGCTCAGATTAATGTTGGGTCGGCTTTAAATCCTGTTCTCATTTTATCTTATTGAACTAAGCTATATTCTGATTGAATATATGAAGACCAAGATGTTGTGGCCTCTGTCATGGTCGCAGTCTCCTTTCGATTTATAGAAGT